GTTTCTGATGCCCTCTGAGACCCTGGACAGTACCCAGCAGGGCGTTTCGGCCTGCCAAAGACCCTCATTTACCAGAGGATTGGCAAGTTAGGGGGGAGAGCAGCCGCATTTTTACTGTTGGCTCAGCAAAACCGCCTCTTTTTCATGTGTGCACTTTAGATTTTGATCCCTCGCAGATGAGTTCAGATCATGTTCTTGGTGCCATTCATTTCTCGCTCTTCGCTGTTCGCTGGTAGCCTCAGTTGCTTGTGGTTCCCTTTATTTATTTTGCGTACTGTAGTGTGGTTAAGGGTGACTTATTTATTACCATGTCATTATTTGATCAGATTGGTAGATTAGATTTTGGATTGATGTGGATTAGTGTAATGCCAGTGATGACACAGTGTAATGATACAGGAATGTAATACGAGCAAGTATTAGAGCTGGGTCTCAGTCAGTTGGGGCTAATGCCGAGTTGTATGTCGAGAGAAATTTGCAATATGGTTTTTCTGATTTGTCTGGTTAGCCTGGATCAGCTGCGAGATATGAGAGAGGGTTGTGAGTGAGAGAGAGAGAGACAGAGAGAGAGAGAGGCCTGTGACACTCTGCACCGAACCCTAATGAGAGGCAGGGAACCAAAGGAGCTGGGCAATGAGATTAGATGCAACTCAATTCAATTACTGCTGAGCCGCCACGGGTGACGCTTCAAAACTCATCCTGTTAAGATCCGGTTCCCAGACGAAGAAGAGGACTGCAGCTCTCACTCAGCCGCTGGTACGCTACACTGCCACAACATCTCATTCGCAACAGCTCTGATTTATAAGCACACGGGGCGTCATCAGGCTCCGTCGGGATTTGATAGCAGACTCTGCCATGTTCTGATATAGATTTAAAGGAAAATGCAGAAATAATTGAGTTTTCACCCATCGCAGCCGTTCATACACTGCTCCAGAAACGGCACAGTTGTTTCAAGTGTGTGTGTTTTGAGATTAAAGAGCGACTTAATGCCCTGTTTTAGCTGGAACCCTTTCCACATGTTCAAACACTGGATCCAGACCTGGACACACAGCCCCCCCCCCCACCCCCCTGCCCTCACAGTTACCCCACAAGCAGAGTTTGTCCAGAGTACAGGCTGGAAGAACGTTTCTGTGAAGACAAAAGACAAAAACATCTCCTCGGGCTGAACACAGAGAAGGAAGTTATGGGTAACCAGAGGTCGCACGGGCTCCAAATGAAACGAAAAAACACAACACACATAAAAGTTAACGCTTTGTTCAACTTTGACCTTCAACTTTGACAGCAACGCTGCTGCATCTTTATTTACATGCGCAATATTCCACCACTAGAATAAAAACTGCAACATTACTCTGATGCAGCGTTCACAGCGTGTGAGGGTGGTGGTGACCGTGATGTTGCCTTGTGCTTCGGGAGTGTGGAGTACAAGGCTGCATCATAGGTTCATCACTGAAGTGTCAAACAGCCACTACAGCAACGGCGACTCAAATCAATTAACAGTATAATGAAGTGACTGTACTATGTAATAGGAACAAGGTGAATATTTACCATGACTATCAGGTCCTGTTTATCCTATGTGAAGAAACTGTATATACACTAAATGTGTACAAATTGCAAATTACCATGCTACACTGTTTGTTTGTTCATATGTTTATACATCACACAACGTGAGTGGTGGCTGCCAGCATTACAGCATGTTAAACCACTCCCTGTCTCGATGGCATGATTAGCACTGAGGAGCATGATCAGCAGAAGCCGCTGCATGGTGCGGCTGGATTCATATCAAGGGGATTTATAGGCGGTGATAAGGAAATGTTGTTGTTGTCTTCCATAATTTATGTAGTTGACTGTAATACATTTTTAGACACAACACAGCTGAGGGGCTCCTGAAGGCGAAGAGGTGAATGGGATTTATAGCTTCTCGCAATCTTGGAAATAAAGATCACGAGCAAAAGCATTTATGAGGGTCTCCAGTGCTGTTGTGGTGGTTGAATCCATCGATTGGGTGAAGCTGAATTGGATTCTGGTCTGAAAAAAGGTAACTGGCAGATGTAAATGTATGCAGAGAAGCAGGGAATAACAAAATTATGTTTTTTTGTATTTTTACTTGCTGGCGGAGATGAAGAAGGAACTATCAGTGTTGCTGCTGCTGTCAGATTAAGTTGCGCTCAAAGGATTTTGTTCATTTCTATTCTGAAGTCTAAATCACAGAACATAAACTTTTCTGCTGATGTTCATAAAAAATAAATAAATAAATAAATAAAAAAACAGGAGCAGAAGTAATCCATTTCTGGACAGACTATTTACCACCACCAGATTCCATCTCTTAATTTCCATACAAATGTAAAACTAGGCAGGCATGGAATCTTCTGTGAATCTTAAATGAATCCAATTGTTCCCACACAGTTCAGGGTTTGCCGGAGGCACGGTGAGAGGAACGCCGCACAAATCAGCAATTTCAAAATAAAAGCCCTTCTGTGATTCTAATCTGATTGATAGGACATTGTTTCCTTCTCTCACATAAGAGTTAGCATAATTCGTGTTTTTCTTGCACCTCAGAAATGGAAATAAGAAATGCACTTCTTTTTTTTTTTTTTTTTTGACAGAACACTACAGATACTTACATGTATGAAGCTCAAATCCCTGGAGCTTTCCCCCGTCAGCGTTTGTTTTGCTATTTAAAATCTTCTGAGACATGTTATTGTGTCTGTCAAGCAGCACAGGAATCAGTTATTTTACCACAGTAAACAAAAAGATACTTGCAGGCCTTAAACAAATATCCACCCTATAATTTTATCCCATATGCATGGCATGTCGCACACCCACTGTGATGACCGTGTGTTAAATGGTTCATCGGCATTTCTAGCTTTACCAGCCGTACTCTCAACCCTTTGCAAACCAACAGAGACCATTTTGACCCACTTAATCTGCATGGCATCTCTCAAAGTAAGAAGCTTTTATTGCCGGGAAGACTGCCATGCTAGCTATCCAGCTGGTTTGTGGTTGGTGAGGTTCTGAGCATATGCCTCAGGAAAATGAATAATGCATCCATGTTATTCAAACCTTCATCCTGTAACTCTTGCTTTAGGTAGGGGAGATGTGAGAAGGTATAGTGCACAGGAGAGGGTGCTCATTTAAAAAAAAAAAAAAAATGATACCTGAGAAAAGCTTCAAATGTTTTCACCTCACTTTTAGATTTTTTTTTTTTTTAGAGGAGACTGGCTTTTGTCGAAGTAAAAAGTCCAACTACAATAGGCAGTTTTATGTCTTTAGACCACACTACCTTCATATTCTTATTGCCCCATGGTGTTTTACATCAGAAGTACAAGTGCAGCTACTTTTGAACAGCTCCGCGACCCAGAAGCCACAAAGGAACTGCATGTGTTACCTGTACATGCCCTCAACAAATCATCTGAACTCCGTGTTGTGCTACAAGTTACATTCATAAACTATAAGCTGAACTCCTTGGAGATGTGACCTGATAACCGGGTCGCCAGATAACCTTGAGGTCTGGCATGTTGATGTCTCTAGGCAGTAAGCCATTGCTCCTCTGGACAGATGACACGCTGTGCGCCGGTCTCTGCTACTCGCTGTGCAACTCGCCCAAAGGTCATCCACTGGAAATGTGGCTGCGTGCTGCAGTGGCAGCATCACACCGGGAGGGCAGGCACACACACGGTGCAGCAGCCTCAGAGCATTTACAAGTCAAGAGAAAAAAAGAAAGGAAATAGAAAAAGGAAAAACTGTTTGACCATTCAGATGGAATGGAAAAGAAGGGAAATGCAAGAACAGAGAAATGAAGAGAGTCACAAAGTGGTTTTCTTGTTACAGCTGTTGTTGTTTCTTTGCTGTCTGTGCTGGCTTTGTTGGTTGTCTGCAGCCGGTTCATGGAGATAAGGCTCTACAGAGAAATGGCTCACGGTAAAAAAAAAAAAATTAAATTTATATATATAATATATATATATATAAATATTTATATATATATATATATATATATATATGTATGTTTAATTTGCCCACAGCTGTTCAGACTGTCAGTCAATTTACATAATACTCAATCACATGCAACTATTTTAATCGTCATATAAAATCAGTATGTCAGCCAGCCAGAATTTGTTGCAGCTGGAAGTTTTTTTTTTTTCCCCCTTTCTGTATCGGTTAACCACACGACGGATGATGAAAAATGAATAGAGATATGGAAAAGGAGCTTATTGTACATACAGTTTGCAATTGCATTGTCCATGGCTTAATGAGATACCAGCAGTGTGCTTGATTTTCATTAATAACCTTCATGTTCTCTTTCGCCCATTGTACATTGGAGTAGAGTTAAGCCATTTTTATATCAGCTTGTGCTACGTGCAATCTATCCCTCCAGAAATAGGACTACATTATTCATTCTGTGGTATGTGATTTGACCATAGTGTTTCTGAGCGCTCTGTTAAATGAAAATATTTCACGTGTGAATTAATCATTAGAAGGGCTCATTCTCCATTCTTGGTAGCATAATGATCTCTTTCTACCACTGGCCTGGATGAATGTTTCATTGTCTTTATCTTTAAATGAGTTGGCACCGTCCTCCAAGGAGACACGGGGCGCAATGTGTTTTACCGCACCGTCAAAGTTAACATGTGGCTGAGCTAAATGCCATAATTTAATTGATGCCAAGCACAATAACATCACCCACTGATCTTTTAATAATATGGAGATACAATTCCTGTCCTTTAACTTCATTATGATATTGCCTTTTCAATATGCAAATGTGAATGCACACACACTTACACACTAGCACACAAAGTCTAGACTCTAGACAATATTTTAGTGGGCCTGCAGACTTCACAATGCTATTTTAGATTGTAATGAGATGGCCTTTAACCTTTGGATTCAAGCAAAAACCTCCCTAGAATAAATTAGCAGCCACTCAGTTCTTGCACTACTGTGTGCCAGTCTCTTTTGTGTCTAATCCTCGGGGTCTCTCTCTCTTTCTGTGTCTCTCTCCCTCTCTTTAGGTTTCTCTATACTGCAGGCCATCATGGAGGCAGCGGTAGCTAACAACTGGCAGGTGACCGCTCGCTCTGTTAGCAGCACAACCGACGCGGCAGAGTTCAAGCGCATCATTGAGGAGATGGACAGGAGGCAGGAGAAGCGCTATGTGATTGACTGCGAGGTGGACAGGATCAACACCATATTAGAACAGGTGAGCCACAGACCCAGACGAAATGTAGATTATATAACCAAACATCTACACTGTCTGTCTAGCCCTTTTGATGCTTTCTGCTTCACTAACATAACTGCAAAGAAAATATAATTTACAAAATAACAAATATTAAAGGGGCTCTCCACCGATTTGACAAATGTAAGAAAAATTTATCTAATGACATCACTAACTTACCCTGAGTTGGGCTGGGAGACAAAAACTGGGCACGTGAAGAATGGAATATGCAATGCAATATGGAAAGGGAAGGATCCACATCTCTAGAGCTTAATCCATAATAAGAAACCAAAGCTCTAGATATTTCAGCTTCTGCTGCGTCAATTCTGACCATTCCCGTTTTAAAGACGTATCAAAATGCGTCCACTGAAACACGTCTGCAAATGAATGATAACGTTACACCATGCCTTGGCTACTCGGTGTGTAAATCCCTCTGTTTGCATATCACTTTTGAAAATGATAATATGTCAGATTTCTTCCCCCAAGTGGCCAAAAGAAATCAGTTCATGCATTTGTCTCATGTATGGAAGTGCAATACTACATTGCTGGAGTGGCCCTTTAATCATTCAGTGACTCAGTATGTTAGAATATAGTTGATATTGTCAATGAAGATGTTAGTATCCTTTGCACTAGTGCTCGTTGTGTATGACGGGTTTTACAAGTAATTTTAGACCTGAATATTTTTTTCCTGAAAACAAGTTGACTTTGTGTAACATCCTCAGGTCATAACAGTGTGCTAAATCGAATGTGAGGCATAGCGGTAATCCCACCTGTTGGAGGAGCTCAGTTTGCCGTTGTTTGGTTGCTAAGTTTGAGGCCGGCTTGTTTGAAAATCAGCGTGTGTGTTGAAACTGCCCAAGAGCCTGAGATTGAGAGGTCTGAGCGTGAGCAGCCATTTGGAGAGACCACTGATGATGCAGCCTTTTTAATCCTCTTTTAACAACCCCAAACCCCTCCGTTCCTCTATCACGTCCACTGCCTGAGGAGGAAATGAAAGGTCCACCAGTCCTTGTAGTAGGGGAAACACAATTACCATGAATAGATGAGTGGCTATTATGCCATGCATCTCCTCTGTTCGCCTGCCCCGCACCACCCTACTACATCCCTCTGTTTGCTGCTGCCTGCTTATAAGGCAATCAGCTCCCGAATTGGATTCTGCTCGTTAACATTCATTTAGATATTGGCTTCTCTCTGCCTCACAATATCCCCTCAATGACTGTTAGTTTCACTTGTTTTTTATGAATCTAATTTGATCCCAGAGTCATAGTTTAAAGCAGAATTGCTTTTAGTATTAATTTGCTGTGTCTAATTTAATTCTTGTGCTGCAAATTTCTTTCCTTTTACAATTCGGAGGCTACACTGAAATCTACTTCCTTTTTGTGTTAAGAATATGCATCAGCTTTTAGGAAAAGCTTAGAATATTCATAACAAATCACATGTGAGGCGTATTCACTGTTGTGGCTTTAATTGCGTGTCTCCCCCCCCCCCTTGCAAACAATAATAAGGATGCAGGGCACTAATCTGTTTGATGTTCTCCTGTTTCTGTCTTTGTTCCCATCAATGAATTATTTCTTTTTCTTTCAGAGGGAGCTCTTTCCCCCCCTCCACCTCTACCCATCTCCATCATACATTTTTCTGTCTAAACTTTGTTTTAGTTGCAGATGGGGAGGGAAAAGCTTTTACGCTAACCTTGAAAGCAGCAGTGTGCTCAATTTTGCCCCTTGTTTTAATGACAACCTCAGTATGGGGATTTTTTTTTTTTTTTTTGAGTTAATTGAAATAATCGGGTCAGCTCTGCCAATATGGATGAGTCAGAGGCATTCAGGAAAGCTGTTGGACTTCACTCTGCAGCTGCCCCCTACTGGGTTATACCATTATACATTGAAACAGGGATGGACTGTCTCCCATGAGGGCAATCACGCTAAAAATGGCACCCGGTGGCAGCTATGTGGAAACCCGCTGCTTCTACCTGCTGTTGTAGTTCTATTAACCAATGATTGTAGACAGATAGAGTTTCATCTCTGGAGGACAGGAGGGAGAGTTTGAACAGGGCCGGTGTGTCTGTGTGTCGCAATGTCGACATGTCGCTTCAATCCGTCAAGGTCACTGCCTGTTGAGAGAGGATCATGAGGCAGGACAGATCCAGCTAGCTGATTGCTGGGGGAAATGGGAATCAGCTCAGTAGCTTAGTTTTATTATTTCAGTCGGCACAATCCCACCGCAGAATGAATGTCTTTATACCAGGCAATGAAGTTCATGGAGTGTAGAGTTATCTTGGAACAGGCAAGCTGAGCTTCCACAATTTGGTACAATTTTTGCACAAAAAAAAAGAATAAAAGCACAGCACCACTCTTCATCCGGTCATTGCTAATGCTTTGGTCATTTGGGCCTTTGTTGCTCTGCAAGTTCACTGAACGGAATTTTTGAATGTTTCAATAATCTTCCTAAATGGCAGAAAGGACATCCAGTGGTGGTATATTTACTCAAGTACAATTTAGATATTTGTAATATTTCCATTGTATTCTACTTTATACTTCTCTGTCACTGGATTTCACAGGGGAGGGTTTTACTATTTTATCACCAACATTTTCAGAAATATTTACCTCTTTTCTGTTTATCAACATTTTTCTTTCAAAACAAATAAACTGTGAAACAACCCTAACTATATTAAACAGGTAATACAATTAGTTCCACTTCCACCAGCTACAGCATTAAGCTGCTTAAATGTTAATGCATCAATAATAATAATAATCATAATAATAATAGTCCAATTATCCACTGCACATTCTGAAGTATTCATTAAGGACTACTATATAGTATTTTAATGTGAAATGTAGTACTTTTACTGAATGATCTGGAGTTATCCTAACCTTTTAAATTATTGATTAATCAGTGATTATATTTTCAATAAATTGATTAATCATTTAGTTTATGAAAAAACTATATATATTTATATATATATATATATATATATGATTAATAAAATGGTTGCTGATTCATTTTCAGTTGATCAACTAACCGATGGTTAGTGGAATGGACTCACTGTTTTCGCCCCAGTCTCAGTCCTTACAGACGAAGGGTTCTTAACACATACACAAAATAGTGAATATGCCTCTTCTTTCAATCATAAGCACACTCAGCTGAATGTCACATTTATTAGCTTCATTTATCACTTGACATGATGTAGAAACACGGGAAGGCAAGTATTTGCATACTGCTGCATCAGGCGCAGTTTTGTTTACTCATATAAGAGAAGAGTGAGTCTCCCTACAAATTTGTTTTGGGATGCTGAGGAGAATGCTACACCCGGGCCATTATCATTTTATGCTGTAACAACCACTCAGGATTTATCGCCCATAGGACTTTTCCATCAATACACTGCACTGCAGATAAATTAACCCAATGGCAATCCTTCCCTTACGACAAAAATGGGAGAGCCTCTGCCAGCTCTGCTCTCTGAATCATATCCAACAAATGTGTTTCATTGAACCATCTGGGTTTATGATAGTATATGCTGAGAGGAATGTTTGTGCCATTAAAGAAGGGCTGTTTAAATAAGAACTATGATTGAGTATAAGTTAATCATGTTTGTATTGATACCACTTGCCGTAATGATGATTTTTCTCAGAGTATATGTGCATTAGTTAGACTGCGTATAGCATATGCTCCTGCCTAATCTGATCCATCCATGAGATTGCACATATAGCCTCATATCTGCCTTTATGCTCCTGCCTTCCTGGCCGTCTTCCCTCCCGGGATTCCTGTGCTGGAGACTGCTCAGAGGCAACAACCTGCTCATCACTAGTTAAAGAGAGGCAGGCAAAAAAATAAAAAATAAAAAAAAAAAAGAAGAAGAAGAAAAAGAAAAAAGAACAACGTCTGGGACAGGCCCAGGGCACGCAAGCTGTTCAAAGAAAGGCAGGCAGCGAGCGCTCTGCCAGTCGCAAAGCTGCATTTTCATGCAGGAGAAAAAAAAAAAAAAACAATAAGAAGTGAAAAGGATTCACAGAAAGAGAGGAAAAAAATAAGAGATGCATCTGGGGATTTGTTAGGACAACATTCTGCCGCCTGTAGAGGCATGAAGGGTGGCCATATTGCCTCACCATGGAGAATTGAAGATCCTCCATATCCCTCTTTTTGCTCCTGAATGGGGAACTCTGAGAAAATCCGCAGTTGGATGTATTAGAGAATCTGAATCTTTGGGTTATATCAAATTCAAGAAAGGGGAAGATAAGAAGTCTTGAGAGAGGGAGAGAATGGACGATAGATTGCGAGCAGCTGATAGAAAAATGTCAGCAATAAAAACGAAGGACCTCAATGAATGTTGTGGATGACACGGTGAAAAGAAGGGAGCGATAGCAGCCTTCTAGCATTCTGTAAACCAGAGGAAGACACATTGTAACATATTATTGTAACACAAACACAGATGTAAAATAAAATCTAAATGATCCAAATTTCACAAATTCACGACACAATTTTTTCCACATAAAACACTCAGGCATTCAAAGCTTCTGGATTACTCTCACTCTGTCTTCCGGGAACACTACCTGGCACGTCTCTCAGTTTGTTCTAAAAGACGGACGAAAAAACGTGGAAAGATAGTGAGCTTATGTCTCTACTGATATGAAAGGTGCTCCTGATCTCAACATCAGCTTATTGTCCCCGGGCTGCTGAGAGGAGAGGCTGACAGAAATATAGCCGATCCGTTCCTGCCCAATGTAAAGCTGGGGGGGGGGGACCCAATGCTTTCAAATCCCTGGCACCAACCTGGGCTGTTGAGGGCCATTTACTAACTGCGATTATAGAATTAAATGGGATTAAAGTGTTATCATTAAGGAGAATGTGACCTGCTGAGTTCACGGCTGAACGAGAGGGTGAGACCTGTGTACTGCGACTGTGACAATTTGCACGTCGGTCTTTAAACCAGAGGAACTTTTTTTTTTTTTTTTTCCTATTATCAATCACGTAAAATGACCCTGATTGTT